TCAAGATAATATAATATGATTCTAACAAACAGTTTATCTTCTCTCTTTCTCAATCTCTATCACATTTAAATGGAACATTTTTAAAAAGCAAAAAAGCTTGGCCTATTAATAATGGATCTCGATGAAAAAACATGTAGTTTTAAAATTAATAAAAATTTTAAAAAAATCCAACTAAACAATTGATGTGATTAAAAAAACTAAAAAAAATTAAACAAGCATACACAAAACGCGCTACATCACGTTTCATCCCAGGCCACCAAAATAATTTATTCAAGTCTTGATACATTTTGGTCGCTCCTGGATGAATGCTCAATGTGCATATAATGAGTACTATTGATAGTTCATGGAATACTCAGTTCATGGAATATTGTTTATAAGGTGATATTGGATCTTGTAGTATTGAGATATAACAGTCTGCCAATAGTCTTCGATAGGAAGGAATATCAACAAAGGCAAAACTATCATCATAACATAACTTGATGGATCAGATGGTGTGCGGGCAGGTTTAGATCCCAAGAATCCTGAGTCAGTCAAGAGATCGAGGCAGTATTTTCTTTTGCAAAGGGAGATACCTTGTTTAGAATGAGCAACTTCCAAGCCTAAAAAATACTGATATGAATGTATACTTATATAAGACAGTTGGGTAATGAGCTATTACTAATGATTTGAAAGTTAGGAAAAACATGTTGTTCAGGTGCCAAATTGTTTTTATGTTTGTTTATATTTAGTTATTTGATGATCTTACTTGAGTTTGTAGATTGTTCCCTGAGATTAAAGCCTCACTACGTGACTTATAATTGATGCTAATTTGAATATCTCTTTTGCATACTATTTTGAGTTATAGTAAATGACTCCATATGTTTTTCATATCATATGGATAGTAACATAATTTATCACCTTTCATTTTGAGATTGTCAAAGGAATAGTTCTCTTGACTAATATGCCAATATAATTTTTTTTTAGCTTAGAATGTCTAAATACATTTTTGAGAATATATTATAGAGAATATGTATGTAATCTTATGTTATAACTTTATTTTTTGTTCGTTGTTTTTAATTATTAAAATTGAACTTTAAAAAATAATAATAGGTCCATTTTTAAAATTAGAACAGGGCCTCCAGATTAATTGGGCATCTTCTCGAAAATGCTTATTTGCACTGAGCACTTGGAACAATTGCAAAACTGGACATTAGACCAAAGAATTAAAACTCGTCTAGAAGATACCGGTTTTCCACGTTTAAGCGAACTTGGAAAATGTCAACATGATAACCAGCTTCTAGAATGTGTGGTATCCCATTTTAATACCAACACATGTGGATTTGAATTTGGTGATACTAAATTAGTTTTTGGCTTGAAAGATGTGCTCAAAATTACAGGCTTGCACATTACAGGCAAGCCTGTCACTGGGATTGATGATGACATGACTTTTTAGTCCAACAAATGTTTTGAACAAGATTTGACCTTTAAAAAACACGGTGTAATTCGAGGAGCTATCAAGTTATCTGTTCTTAGAGAAAAATTTATGGAAGTTCCACCAAATGCAACTGAAGTTGAACTAGATCGACATGCTAGAGCATATGCTCTTTATGTTCTAGGTTCGTCCTTATTCAGTAGCTCTTCTAAGGGGGATGTTGATACTCTCCATCTTCCATTGCTTTATAATGTTAGAGAAATAAAAGATTATCACGGTAGAAATAGTTACCTTGTGGGTTTTGAATCATTTGAAGTTTGAAGTTGATAGAGGATCCTCAAAGCATTTTTTTAACTGAGAGAATAAGGAGGCATCAAGATCTCTAGTGTCGACTTCGCTTAAAGGATTAGTTTCCATAAACTGAACTGGAGTCCCATCTGAATCTCCAAAACAAGACGAATGAACCTCATCTAGAGTATTCTCAACATGCACATTGGTATTATCGTCAGTACTTATTTACACTATGATAATCATCTAATTTGGGAACTTGTTCAACTGATCCTTGATGGACATCAGTATCTTCATGAATATCAGTACTTTCACTCAATGTCTGAAAATCTCTCAACATCATATAGTTGCCAAACCCTTCTAAAACATAGCCACTCATTTCCATGTGTTCTTCCACATTAAAAGATCCAACATTGTCACTTCTTTCAGGTGTCAATTCCATTTGAGACTCTTCCCGACCTTGACTCGTCTTCTAGGTAGATGCTGACTTCACTTCACAGGCATCTACATTTCCACTTCTTTCAGGTGTCAATTCCATTTGAGACTCTTCCCGACCTTGACCCGTCTCCTGGGTAGATGTTGACTTCACTTCACAGGCATCTACATTGCCACTTCTTTCAGGTGTCAACTCCATTTGAGACTCTTCCCGACCTTGACTCGTCTTCTGGGTAGATGCTTATTTAATTGAATTAATTAATTAAAAGTTTATTTTAATTGAAAAAATAAAATATTTATGCTTAAATATATTCAAATAAAAGTGAAGTTATTATTAACTTTAAGTGTACAAAACACTTCTTGAGTTAAAATTTATAAATTTTAATTTTGAATTAAATTAATTCTAAAAGCAAAATCATTTCTTTTTAAAAACTATTTAACAAGTCAAAATCAATACTACATTTTTAAGTGTTTCAAATATAAAACAAAACATATACTATTTAATATTAAGATACTTAAATAAGTGATCAGACATAAGTTTAAATAGAATATTGTTGTCATAAAAATAAAAAACATGCAAAATAAAACATTCAAAGTGTTACAATTATATTCTAATTTGGTTTCTTTTTAGATATAAATATTGTAACTTAATAATTATTAAAAGAAAATGTGTAACAACACTAACTCATACAAATAATGTATAACTCATACGAATAGAAATAAAAAATTCAAGTGTTACAATATTTTCTTTAATAACTTTAAATTTATTTTGGCTATAAAATTTGTTTCAAAATATTTTTTTTAAATGAGGTGATATCAAGGAGATATCCATTGAGGTATTTGTTTTGATATTTTCTTAATTTTAAACAAACAATGGGTTTTGTCCTTCTCTGTTTTTTGGTTGAAAAGAACATGAAATTGCACTATAAATGTTTTTAGAGACTTATCTTAGTTTGTAACAATGATATCATCAACAATTGGGGCGAGTTTGACGACAAGTTAAACAACGACGACAAGAGTAACAACTACAACAATAGTCTTCAACGACGACTACAAATGTCTGCATCATGAAACGTGAAACAAAGAGAACAAGGTGTGCAATGCTAAATTGTTGTGTTGCTAAATTGTTGTGTTTTGTTCACAAAATAATAATATATTTTATTTCTAAATAATTAGAAAAATAAATATTATATGATTAATTTTTTAATGAAAAATCATTTTATTAGTTGGTTAATCCTTGAAGATCCTCGACTATTTTATTTTATTTATATGTTATTAAGCAAATATTCATATTACTTAAATGTATTTATCTCATTTAAAAAATTGGAAAATCTGTAAATTAATAAAATTATAATTCATATAAATAATTATCTTTTAGTTTTAAAAACAAGTATTATGTGATTAATTTTATTTATAATTAATTATTGTATTATATTATTAATAATATGTATTAAATAGAATGATATAAATTAGCAACAATTTAATTATTTATATATATGATTTTCATAAAAAATAAAATATTAACAAATTAGTAAAATAATAATCAATAGATGGAAGATTACCTGACACTTTTATCATCAAAATATATTATCAATTCCACTGATTCCTATCAATAATGTTGCTGCAAAGAAAATAACACAACTGGAAAAAATTTAAAAAATGGTAATAGAAATATTGCTAACAATAAACCTGAGATCAAATTGAGATTCTAAGAGGTAGGTCCTTGATCCTATTGGATTTCAAATGATATTCACCAAGAGACAAAACAAACGAAGACCATCATTACCTTAAAAAAAATGTCTTTATTTGAGGATTTCAACATCTGTCAAAAATTTACTTTAACTGAAAAATCCCAAACACCACCAAAGTTTCAAACTTTGAGTAGAACCAACAAAACGAGAAAGCTTCTTAGTGTAAAGCCAATAGTTTCCTAGTTAATGTTTGTAATGGAAGAGAAAAATGAGACTATTTTATTGTAAAAATGAAAGTTGTTTTTGTGACTTTTTGATGTGAGAATGAGTGAATGGGTGAGAGAAAAGATGATCTTTCCTCCTCTCATCACTCCACTAGCAGTGGCACCAAGCAATCTAAATAGAAAATGAAAATGTCAAACACTATAATGGAGAATGCAAGGAAAAAAAAAAAAGAAAGAACACAGAGGAACCAAGTTTTCATACCAAGAGAATACAAAAGTACAAGAGAATACAAAAGTATAATAAAATAAGTAAAATAAAAATAGATATAAAATAAAAGTGTGAAAAGAATTTTTTTCATGCTTCGGCTCTTGCACCTGCTCATGCGCTAGTTCTCGAATCTAAAGGATATCTTGGGGGCCTATCTCACACATCACTGATTCCTCTCTATTCACACTATGTAGTTCTTTACATATGGAGCATATATGTTTATTACAAGCACAAATTCCTTTTTGTAGTGCCACATGATACACTGAAGTACATTTGTCATGGCAGGATGCATAGTTTTATAGTGTATTAGTAGCATATGGGCTAAAGAATTTAGCTAGGACTAGATACAACTTCATAAACCATGAATTGTTTTTAGCTTTTATTCACCCATTGGTAAGATGAACATCAACATTAATATTCTCACCTCCTCGCATTACTTTTGGTTATCTTTTATTTAATGTACATTATCATCAACATGCTAAAGAAGTAAGAACATATTCTATAAGGGATAGAAAAGATAAAATGTCATCCTACTTTCTCATCATGAAAATCAAGCAAACCAGCCGTTATAAAATTTTTGAAAAAAAGGTAATATTAGTAACTTGTAAGTTGCAGTGGAATTAAAATGGCATAGTAAATTGCAAAAGAGTAACTTGATACCATCTTTAAAATTCATGCCTTGATTACCATGCCCACCTTGCATTCAAGCCACGACCAAAAGAGTAACTCTGCAAAAAGTGAAAAACGCATTAGTAACTCGGCAGAAAGTAAAAAACTCATCAGCATAGTTCACTGCATAAACAACATTCATTTTAAATCCTAAACTATCATATACTACATAAAACCAGTTCAAAAATACATTGGATGCCAATATATTCCGTGCACTGTGATCTCATACATTTACAAACCAATAGTCCAAAAGAGAGCAGTCACAAGTATGAATCAGGGTCAAGTTACATCATAACTTCTAACAGTACTAACAATGCAAGGTAAAAAGAGGAAAGTGAACATTCGGTTTTGGCAGGAAAAAGGAGAATACATTGCAGTTCAATACTTTCTCAGCTAACTCACTTAAACTCAGAACCACTCACCAACTCAGTTACAAATCAACTCCATCTTACTTAAAATAGAGGCAGTTAAATTAGTTATGACATGACTCAGTTATAACAAACTGAGTCATGACAATTGGAAAAAACTCAGCCCACAACTGGATCGAACTCAGTTTCCAATCTCAATCTATAAATACTTTCCCTCTCATTTTCAACCACAATCTCCATTCTTACCTTCATCTTTCTCTCCACTTTTATTTTCTCTTCTCTTTTCTTTAATTTTCTGTTTAAATTAAAGTTAGACGAAATCTTGTTCTCTTTTCTTTAATTTTCTGTTGAAATCGAGTTAGAAAAACCAATTTAAAAATTTGGTTAAGTTAGTTTTAGAATGTTGTTGTCACTGCCTCCATTTTCAATCATTTTCAACCACAATCTCGATTTCAACAGAAAATTAAAGAAAAGAGAACAAGATACCAATCAAAGTGTTAGAGACTCATAATACCAAATAGGAACAAGGACAACACCAAATTTAATTATTACCTTAGAACGACTTTGTTGTTCTGCTGTAGAGGCCATCTTCTCTGTTGACTCAGCTTCTTCTAAATAAAGTTCTTTATGTGTCCGTTTCGTACTAGAAACTTCCCCGTATGCATAAAGTTCTTTATGTGTCTGTTTCGTACTAGAAACTTCCCCGTCTGCATGGGAGAAATCATTGGATCCACACGACTCAGACATTTTGTCCTATTAAAAAATGTAAATGAATGTTCACGGTGTTGGCTGACACAACGTTCCCAGTACAACGTTCTCACCAGTAAATGTAAATGATAGTTTACAAAATGAAGTTGGGCAGTAACTTACACAAGCCCCTACTGTCAGAGGCATATAGCAGACAAAGGAAACAAAGAGCTACAACTATCCCCACAAACTCAAAACCTCGTACAACTCAGACACACACAAGCCCCTACTGTCCCAAAACAAAACAAAACAAAAACACTATAAATTAATCCCTTCTAGAACCAAAAAGAAAATCTCTTCTCAGCTTTGGAGTAGGTGCATGCATGGCCGTTCTTTCTTGATTCTAATGCGTTTTCTTCCCTTCTGCAGGGAAAGCATTGGAGCCAATGGACTCAGACATATTTTCCTATTAAATTATATAGAAACTTTACAAAACTCAAAGTTTTCAAAATTTAGGGCTATGTTTAGATCGACAGACACACAACAAAATGGCACGTCTATTTCACACAACGGAACAAAAATGGATGGATGAAGAGAGCTGTTTCAAAGAGGAGAGAAAGAAACATACCTGGATGAATTCGTTCCAAGAGGGGAGAAAGAGTGGTCGTTGGTGGTTGAATTCATTCACTCTCTTAGTGATAAATGCCATCTGCCTGACAATCAATCAAATCAGCGCCGAATGCTACTCTGCTACCGCCGAATCTATCACTAATGCTGGAGAAGAAAGCATAGAAAGGATGGGTACTGTGGAGAAGTAAAGAAGAAAGACTAAAATATTATTTTATAGAGATGGTTTTTTAGATTTTTTTTTTTTTGAAAATGCCACGTTTTTGAAAAAAAATGGCAAAATTGCCATAGATTGAAAATATTTTGTAAAAATGCCATGGTTGTATCAGGGGCTCGTCCATCCAGTGGACGGCCCATTGTTTTTTCCTTTTTTTTTTTAGTTAATTATTTTTGTTATATTATTTGATATTTTTAATAATTGTGTTAAATATTTTAATATTTTTATTATATATTCTTTAGTTTAATCAATTAAAAATATAATTAAATATATATTAAAATTAATATTTTGAAATATATTTAATAAAATTTAATAAGTTATAAAACAGTTTTTTAAACTTAAATACTTCGTCTTGAACTATTTGTCCAAGTGTATGAACCGACTGCTGTGTTGCTTCTACCTGAACTGTTTTGTCAGGTGTGTAAGAACTGGATAATTGGCTGCTTCAACCTGAACTGCTTTTCCAGGTGTGTGAACCGAGTTTGAATTTTGGAATTAATGCATTGTACGTTGAACACTTCCGTGTTGAACCGTTTTTTTTTAATGCATTGATTTTGCCGTTGTCAGTTTTCAGCATTAATGACCTGTGCGTTGGATTTTTTGTTTTTGAACCGTTTCTGAGAATTCTACCTATATAAGGCATCTGTCACCTTAGAAGAAAATTGCAGAGACGTGGTCTCTTGCCTTAGTAACACGTTTTATCACAGCGAAGCTGTAGACCAAAATTCTGTAGTTTAATTGATTTCCTGAAAAAAAATATTGAAAATTTTCACAGAAAAACAGTAAAATATTTTGTTAGGAAAAGAAAATGCATGAAATGCATCGTGTAATGATGTTCTCGAAATAAACGAGAAATGCTGTATGTATGCTATGAACACACACATGTATGTATGTATGATGAGATGATATGTATGCTAAGAAAACAGCAACAGCAGCTCCAAAATGTAATCAGCAGCCTGGGAAAATAAATCCCGTCCTGTTTTGAGACTGTTAATTGTGCTGGAGATTCTAGAATTGATCTGTGCAAGAAGATATCCTAGATTTGATGTCAGGGATTCCAGTATTATGCTGGGGAATTCTCAGATGTTGATGAGATCTTGTTGAAAAGTCCTGAAACTGGGATAAACTCCGCTGGGAAAGACAATGTTGTTTTCTGTTTGGAGAATACTCAGCTGGGGAAAAACATCACTGTTTGAGAATATAAGCCCTCTGAATACATTTGACTGATGAAGTTGACGAATCCTTCCCAGGAGGTTATATGACTCTTCTGGGGGATTCCAGTATTATGCTGGGGAATTCTCAGATGTTGATGAGATCTTGTTGAAAAGTCCTGAAACTGGGATAAACTCCGCTGGGGAAGACAATTTTGTTTTCTGTTTGGAGAATACTCAGCTGGGGAAAAACATCACTGTTTGAGAATATAAGCCCTCTGAATACATTTGACTGATGAAGTTGACGAATCCTTCCCAGGAGTTGATATGACTCTTCTGGGGATGTATTAGACAGTCAAGTCCCGCTTGTCCAACAGACAAACACAGTTGCCATTAACAAACACTTTTCTGCTTGGGGATACAAATCTGAATATGTTTCATTTATAATTGAAGGCAAAATATCTCTAGTAAAATCAAATTCTAAGATTTCTCTCTGCCTAATCAAGTATCGCCCTCCAGTATAATCAAACGAGAAAGGCAAAGCACACTGCAACATTTGAATAGATGTCCAATAAGAATCACTAGAACCGGCATTAAGCAAAGCAGGCATTGGCAAAGGCAGTGAGAGAAACATTGCCATTTGATTTGCTGTGGCTTTATCCAAAAAACAAACCTTGACAAGCATCTTGAGTGACAGTAATGAATCTGCGGATAACTGAAGGTTCAGATTACCACTATGAGAGCTGAGAAATTGTCTTTCTACAGAGAAAAGCTCCAAAACCTCGGCTTTAGCAGCAAGTGATTGAGGATACCGTCACCATCAAATATGTAACACCCCGTTTTCAATTAATTGATTTATTGGAATTTGGGAATTTATTTTATTAGAATTAATAAAATAAAAAGAATTATTTATTTTGGAGTATTTGAAGAAAATAAAAGAAATAAGGAATATTAGAATTTTTATGTTATTGGGCTTAGATGTTGTTAGTAAAGAGTGGGGGTGCAGAGAAATAAAGTTATGTTTGGGACTTAGGCCATTTTCTCATTTTTTGGTTTTCACGTAAGAACAGAAGTTAGAATTTGGGAAGAGAGAGCTCTGAAGAACGGAGAACGAAGAACACCGCCCAAGAACCCAAAGCTGCTAATTGATAAGGTAAGGGGGGTTTATACTCGATTTATATTTGTTTATGGGTTTATGTACGGTTGATTCGGGTAATCGTAGGAAATCCCAATTGTTAGATGTTTCTAGGGATCGATAACTGTAGGACTGAACCTTGTTAGAAAAGGGTTAGGTGCCCAATTTTTATGAATCGATTAAGAGTTTTAGGTCCCAAATGAGGAATTGAGAGTATATGTCATGATCGTGAAATTACCTTGGAAGTTGTAGGGATAACCTCAGTGTCAGTAGAATTCCCCAAAAGGACGGTTAGTTTCCGATTAAGGTTATTATGATATTCGTTGGTAACTTGGATATTGTGGTGTTGTTGTGAATTGAACAAACTCGATGCGTTAGGTGCTGAAATGCGCGTTTTGGCGGACGTTTTCCCGCGTTTTGACTGCCGTTTCTGAGCTGCTACAGGTTCAGGAAAATCCTGTACGCGCTCAGCAACACGGGCCGTGTTGCACAACACGGGTGGCCGTGTTGCTCCTCTGAGTTGGAAGGGGTGTGCTCCTGGTTGCACGACACGGGCCGTGTTGCACAACACGGGTACCCGTGTCAGAGCCCCTGTACTGATAAAATTAAAATGTGCATTTTTCTGGACGTTCTGCACAACACGGGCCGTGTTGCACAACACGGGTGCCCGTGTTGCTCTGCTGTGATGATTTTCTGAATTTTTGATTTCAGTGTTTTGATGTTGGATTTTTATTGCTATGCTTTTAGATATGTTGTCGAGCATGAATTATGATATAATTGATGCGATTGGTTGATGTTTGAATAGTATGCTGAGTGATTACATGCTATTCGTAACTTGATATGATTGATGTCTAAATAGTATGCTGAGTGGTTACATGCTATTCATATCATGTTATGTTTGATATTGTTGATGTGCATGATATGTTGATCGATGTTTATAGTATGCTGAGTGTTACATACTTACATATCATGTTGCATTTGTTAATTCCCATTGTGTGGAATTAACATGGTGGCCAATATACGTGTCCGCGATTTAATGGAACGTTGAGGTGGTAGCCGTGTCCGCGATATAATGGAACGGTGAGTTATCCGTGACCCGAGATTTAATGGGGCGGTGAAGTGGTACCACATGCATGGGTGTGTTGCATTACTCGAATATGACATGAATGGATGATTTTTCCAATGTTATATTTGATTGTCTGTATGCACGTATGACTTGATAAATGGTTGATGATGTTTGATGAATATTTGCAAATATGAAAGACAATGTGTCATGGATATATGAATAGTAAAGGTTTTGTAAACTATGAAATATGCTAATTGTTGGGTGATGCTTATGATTTCGTGAATTGATTGTTATGAATGTATAACCAAATGTATATTTGAGAAGCTCACCCTTACTGTTGAATATTTCAGATTGAGGAGCTTCGCTCAGGTGCTTGGCGAAGGCTTATCGTGTCTAGTTTAGTTTCGTTTTAGTATGTCCGGGTCATGCTCTGATAGTTGTAACTCCGGGAACGTTTGGTTGTCGAGCTGCTTTAGTCAGACTCGTTTATTTTCTTTTAATTGTTATGATATGATGTTGACTTTTCCAGGTGTTAATCCCTGATGATTTTGGAAAATATTATAACATTTGATTTTATTAATTAAAGTATTCCGCTGTGTAAACATGTATGAGTTACTACTAAGATTATGCATGACAGGAATTGTTTTATTAAAAGAGAATTGTAGCATCCTCGAATTATACATGTACTCTGAGTTTATAATTTTAATTATTTGCGAAAATTACTTTGGGGTTTTAGAGGGTGTTACAATAGTGGTATCAGAGCATAGTCGGTCGTTGTGACCAGAGTTTTGAGTCAGTCATTCCTTTTCGTATGCGACTAGTGCAAGGTAACACTGTCGATACTGTATTCTGATGTGGAGTATG